CTTTAAAAGTTTGGGGTTTGGTTTTTTTTTTTTTTTTTTTTTGTATTTCCCAGTGCATTCTTGCTTATATTCTCACTTAATTCAGGGAGAAGATGTAGATAAAAACACCTGTAACATTACTTTTTTATAGACATATTTGAAATTTTAATCACTAACTGATAAACAACAAAATGGACTTTTTCCTAGTGTAGATCACACATGCTATTTGCAGGGAAACTTTCCTGGAAAATCATGCTCCAATATTCATAGGCTTACTTCCTAAACTGTGGGGTGTATAAAAGTAGTTTCTGATGGTTTGGTTTTTCTTTGTAGTAGTAGTGTAATAGTAGAGGTTCATGAGGAAGTGCTAAAATCTATGGCTAATACAGACAGTCACAAAACAAACTACTTGCTCCCTTAAAACAAATCAGGGAGGAAACTATGACACACTTTGCATTAGGGACACTTTCCACTAGGTCAGTTTGCTCAAAGCCCCACCCAGCCTGGCCTTGAACACTTCCAGGGAGAGGGCATCCACAACTTCTCTGGGCAACCTGTTCCAGTGTCTGACCATCCTCTCCATGAAGAATTTCTTCACTATATACAATCTAAATCTCCCCACTTTCAATTTATACCTGTTACCCCTTGTCCTGTCACTAGAGGCCCTTGTAAAAAGTCCCCCCCAGCTTCCTTGTAGGCCCCTTCAGGTACTGGAAGGTGCAATAAGGTCTCCCCGGAGCCTTCTCTTCTCCAGGCTGAACAAGCCCAACTCTCTCAGCCTGTACCCATAGCAGAGGTGCTTCAGCCCTCTGAGCACCTTCGTGGCCTCCTCTGGACTTGCTTCAACAGGTGCATGTCCTTGTTATGTTGGGGGACCCAGAGCTGGACATAGTACTCCAGGTGGAGTCTGAAGTTGACTGATGGTAGCTATTTTCTCCTTGTCTACACTTTTATTTCACTTTGCATATAGTATCCCCTTAGATTTTACAGTACTGTTTTTGTTCAATCCAAACATTAAAAGTTTCAGTGTTCTCAAATGTGAGACCTGGGACTTCATCAAGAGATGATCATCCGTAAGCCAGACTCCAAAGCAGCGTGATGAGTGTTCCTGTAGGGCACTTCCCATGTGGTGGGAAATTAAAATATTGGAATGGTGGCATTTGGTATTTGCTACTTCCACAGGAATTGCTAGCATGATAGAATGCACTGATTTTGGCCAAGATAGAGTTGAATTTCTTCATAGTAACTTGTATAGGGCTATGTTTTGTATTTCTGATAGAAGTGTTGATAATACAGGGATGTTTTAGGTATTGCTGAGCAGTGCTTACAGAAGATCAAGGCCTTTTGTGTTTCTCACACTGCCCCACCAGTGAGCAGGCTGGAGGGTGCACAAGAGACTGGGAGGGGACACAACTGGCACAACTGACTGCAACTGACCAAAGAGTTACCTCGCACCATATGATGTCATGCTCAGCAATAAAACTGGGGGTTAGGGGTGTAGGTTAAGGTTGGCTGGGGCTGCCATTGCTTGGAGACTGGCTGAGCATCAGTCAGTGGGTGATGAGCAATTTTTTAATTTTACATCATTTTTTAAAATTTTTTTTTCCCCTCTGTTTTTTCCCTCTTAAAAAAATTAAACTGTCTTTATCTCAACCCATGAGTGTTTGTACCCTTACCCCTCTGATTCTCTCTGGGTGAGGGGGTGAGTAAGCAGCTATGTAGTGCTTAGCTGCCTACTGAGGTTTATCAATAGAAAGATAATATATCTATCTACTTTTTCAAGCACATAGAAAAAAGCTAGGAACATTGCAACCTATCAAGCAAAGTAATTGAATGTGAGCTTAATTTTAAGTGCTAATGATCTTTATAAAAACATGTTTTCAGTAAACTCCTTACTTTTTTAAATTAAAAAAAAAGAAAAAACATAGGAAAGGATCTGAGATTACTTTGAAGGACCTGCTCCCCAAACTGATGATTAAAGAAGGATAAGCATGGCGCTTGCAGCTTCAAAGGTCAGTCTTGCTGAATTTAAGTGACTGATGGATTCTTTTCACCAGAGGTGCAATTTTCCCCTGAAGAAATACTTCGTAAAGACCAATGCTGGCTAGCTGGTATTTATGAGAGAGTCCAAAGGGAATTACAAGTAGGTTGTTAGGGTTATCATTTACTCAGTGGTTTCTGCCAATACTGTAGCACAGAGATCCCACAGCACTTCTTCTTAGCATGTGATAAATTGTGTACCAGGTGAAGGTGAGAAAGGAGTGAGGGCAGCCACTGTGGTGACAAACTGTTGCTTTGCTACTCCTGCTATGAACCTGCTATTTCTCTGCCAGCAATCCCCAGCACCTTAGCCGTGCTCAGCATTGCTCTACTTGGCCCATGATAACATGCCAGTGCATTTGGGAGAACTTTAAGGAGATGCTGGGTACGCGGCTACAAACATCAGTTTTAATTCTGCATGGCAAGGAAGGCTACATCTTCAAGATCCTTATTGTACAGTGGCTCTTCACGCAACCCAAGTGAGTTCCAGTGGCTGATACAGTATAAAGTATCAACTAGTTTGAGAAAGAGGTATCTCAGCCTGCTCCAGTGGAAAGATCTGTCGTTTTGATCTCTCCCATTTCTGTGACTGGCAACAGAAGCCCATCAGTGCAGTTGTGGTGTTATAAGAATTATTTTTGTTTCATCTCCCTCTATTTAATTCCTCCACCTTTGTATTAAAAGTAGATTATTTTAATTACAGAAAGCTGTTCAGATATGTTGCACATTTGATGTAGCTTCCTTAGTTATTCTTCTTATGTAAAAACTAGCTCAACTGGGGAAAAAGAAAAAAAAAAAAAAGAGGAGAAACTGGAAGCATCCAGTTTAATAACTTCTAAGAGGTTGCTTTATTTTGTCATCTTACTACAAATGTACTTAAAAATAACTGAAGTCCACCCCTAAATCATACAAAACATTACATCAGCTAAGTATAAAATAAAATATCTGGTTGCATCTGAAATAATTTTTATGTTGTTTTTTAGAGTGATGGAAAAATCACATACTTTGGTTTTGCTGTATGCTTTCAGGATTGCAAGCCAGTTTAGTGCTAATGATTCAGCTGTTATCCAGCTAAAGAAAATAGACTGAGGCTCAGTAAGGCCACAGTCAACACCAGTTAATGCAGTGTGGAATGTGTTGCCTGACTGGTATTAAAAAGAAAAAAGGAAAAGCAGTGTTTAGCACCTTAACTTAAAAAAACCAACAAAGTCGTCCCTAACCCACCCAAACAAACAGATTTCTCAGAAAACCCAAATAAAAGGAAATTCTTGAACTCTAAGAAAATCACTGTTAAGGCACTGATGTTATTAATGTATCTTCTGAATTCCTTGTTTATGTATCTTTGCCTTTGCTTTCCTAATTTGGTCAATCACACTCTTTAAGATAAGACTCCAAGTCTTCCCACTGATTTTTGGATTACTGGGACTATTGTGGCTTTGAAAGTCCTTATTACTGCATCTTTGGCTCCTCTTCAGTAAACAGATGTTGGCCATGGAGGGAAATGTTAAATTTACATCTTTATCAGTTCTGCCGAGATACTACCTTGGCCTAGAACCCCACCCTGGATTTTGGAACTGGGACTCCAGGGATGTTTTCTGACACGTATGATGACTAGGCACATGACCTTAGCCCACCTGTATGATCTTGGTGGGGCTTTATTTTCAATATTGCAGATTGCTATGGAGGAGAGGAGTTTTGGCATGGTTTCTGCAAAAGACATCTGCTATGGTGCAGGGGCTGTTTGGGCAGGGTAGAGCGGGAATTACCAGAACCGCAGCCCCCAACATCACTGCAATGGTCTTGGCACCTCGAGGAGGGCACTAAAATTGAAGAGTGATGGCAAAGGTCAGCGGAGTCTCAGCATCAGCAAAGCCTGGACAAAAGCTCAGCCCTTCATTTATTACTGAGGAACTGAAGAGACAATGCAGCCTTTTTCCGCAGAAGATTTGTGGCCCTGTCCACTGTCTATTGTATGGATTTCAATGAAACTTAAGTGCGTACTTAGAATTAAGTACTTCTTTTCCTGGTGCCCTCAGGAGAGTTTCCTCAAGTGGGGCCAAACGTACTTTGTACGGGGCATCTTCTGACCCAGAAGGTCAATTAAAACTTCTGAAGAACTCTGACGGGATATTTTTAATTGTTCAAGGTCTAGTTTTGTTTTCAGGCCCTGCAAAATAATCTGAATGTCTGTTTGTATAAATGCATAAGGGAAAAGCTGGCAAAGAAAGAAGCTTGCTCTTCATTGTGGTTCAGGTCCTGTGACTGTGGAGTCAGACTGAGTTTTGCTTTTTATTTCAATCAGTGCAGGGGCAACCTGTCTAGCCATTTGGAATGAATAATTATTTTTCCCCACATAGAGATAAAAATGAGGCATTTTTGCTAATGTGATAGGTAACTTGTAAAATTATTTTATGATTGATTAATGATTATAACCTCAGAGTAGTCTGTCCTTCTAATGGAAATCTCAGCACAGGTAGTGGGGTACAAGTGGGACTCACCTAAATGTCAGATCACAGAAACATTCCTGAGTCTGACAGCTTTGGTACTGTAAGCTTCAGGTTAGGTGTATTCCATGGCAAACTCTGCATTGTTTTCGTAGTTATGGCTTATGAATAGGAAATATCCACTTCTGGGCTACTTCCAATCAAAACATCATCTTTCATGTTACTTCACCTGAGCTTAAACTATGTTTTTCTTGTTTATCTTTGTTTGTTAGCTATTTTTTTAATGTGATCTGATGCAAAGTTGTTTTCAAAAAGATTCTCTATATCCTCCCTTTGCTCTTTGGCAAGGCAGGAGCAGGGACTGCAGTAGGAAAAGGCCTCCTATCTTGGCAGGTTTCTAGGCTGGTGCTCTGCAACCCTGCGTGTTAAACCTAAGGGTATTAATGGCAGTGTGAAGACTGAAAATTCAGATGCACTCTCTCTTTTGTTGCAGGAGGAAGCGTTTTCTGCTGAAGGTCTGAGAAAGGGCAGGCTGGCATGGAGAAAGAGGTAAGTGAAGAAAACCCACGCTGTAAAACAGAAAAATTAAAGAGGCTACTCCTAGCATTGCTATTTCATAATATTATTTGTAGTGTGATGGGAGGGAAGTCAGTAGACGCGTAGGCTCCTTTATATCATTGACAAGTCAAGGGAATGATTAACGAGAGCACCAGACAATGTAATGGTAGGAGAAGGCCCACAGAAGTTAAACAAAAGTGCCTTCAGAATTTAGAGAATTCCCATGATCCATAGTAGGACCTCATTGTGCTTGTCTACTGTTTCTATTTTTGATTAGATTTATAAACACAGCACCACATATTTTCATGTGGCTCATAGCCCCAGGGCAGAGAGAGATTGACTGCGCTGAAACTGTGAGGCTTGTGAATTTCGGGCAAGGGATGGAGTGAAATAAGTAGTGTAATTGTTTGTGTGGAGTGACCGTGGGACCTCCTCTGTTCTGAATTACACATGGTTCAACCCTTTGACCTAACCAACCTCGGCAATGCCTGGTAGATCTCCTAAAGCTGTGCTGAAAGGTCCTATCAGTGACATGTTGGAACATTATCTGTCATGTGAGATGTGTGCCAACAACCATATTAAACTACATTAATTACTAGTGAGGCCATGTTTGTGACAATCTCAACTTCGTTTAACCCATCATCATGATAGTTACTGTTTAAACAGGAAATACAAATGGGGACGATTTAGGAAATCAAAATGCAGCACCAATGTTTTCTTTAATAAATAGTATGTTTTACTTTATTTCCTTTCTATTTCCTCCCCATCCCCCACCTTTTATTGTTCCTGTCATTCGCTCTGTAGCTTGAGTTTTTGAGAGCTTTTCAATTTTAAGAGCAAGCAAGAAAGACTGCTTCGTAGTAACTCAACTAATATGCCAGTGTAATTGTTACTTCTTTCAGTGTAATTTTAAATGATATCACAGTTGACAGAAAGCACCAATGCTTCTTTTCTAGCAAGAAGCAAGCATGCTAAGGTTGTTTATGTAAGGCTGGAAGACCAGACATGGGTTATTCGCTTGAGGTACACCTTCGCTGCTGTATGTTCCAGCTAGCGCGTCTCTGTATGGCAGTGTTGCATATTTCTGGATCAGGAGTGAAGCATGCATTTCTTTTGAATTCTCAGAGAACAATTTTCTTATAGGCCTGACCTTATAGGTAGCAAAATGTACTGTGAGCCCCCAAAAGGCAGCCCAGTATGTAGAAAGTCAGAAGCATTCTTTGCACGTGGTTATTTTCTGAAACAATTCTGAATTTTATAGGGGAAGAGGCAAAAGGTCTCCTACTTGTTCCTGCATGGGCAGTATACAGGTTCAGTTGTAGCTACTGTGCCCGGTGTTATATTAGACTAGACACACGGGGTTATGTCTTCCACCTACACACTGAGCTAATTTTTTTAGACAAGGCTTTTCTTTAAGCCTCATTCTCCAGCTAGAACAGGCTTAAACAAAGTGGTTATTAATTTATTTGTTTTCTAATTGCTGCAGAGTCAGCTAAAAAATATGTTTGACCCTACTAAGTGTCATTCTCATTAGCAATGAAGAGTTTGCTCTCTGCAAAATCTAACGTGGAGTGCTTAAAGCAGACAGGTGCAAATTACAAGCTGTTTCTCTTTGGCTGCCATCCCTTAAATAGGCAAAGTAATAGGCTAGGAGAAGGAAAAAGGTTCCAGCTCCAGCTGCATAAAGGAAAGCCTTAACAGGGACTTAGCAGCTGGTTGCAAGAATTAAATGCTGTAAATACCAACTAACGCATTTGTGTGTTGGCTTTCACAGAGGAATATGTTTTTAGTAAGGCTCCATCCCTTTTTATGTGAGAGAATCATTCTTTGAAGACTGTGCTCTGCTTTATGTTGAAAAGCTAATGCTCTTGCTGAAGTGAATGAGAACAGAAGCCAACATACCTGTTCCTGTTTACCATCATCACACTCCTTAGAGCATTTCAGGCATTATTGGGTTCTTGGAGCCCTACCAGATTGACAATATTTCCAGCTACTTCTCTTTTGGCTGTATTCAAACAAGGCCCCAAAGGGGAAAAAACCAAAACCCAAACCAAACAAAAAAAACACACCACAAAAACCAAAACCAACCTACAAAAAAAATCATGGATGAATCTGCTGAGCTAGTTTGCTGATGTTAGAAACAGTTGTTCATATTAGGAACACCTAATTTAATTTCATGAAAGAGACATAACATGCCAGTATGTGTATGAATCTAAGGTATGTATTTCCTAAAAGGAACTAAAACTCTGTCATTCCAAAGTTGCTTTTCTTTTTGACTTCCAGCTTGCATGGGGACTGCTGTCTGGAAGCAGTAACTTTAACTTTAACTCTAAGGCTGCTGATGAGGTCTGTCTGTGTGATCTTCGTAAGCAGATAAGGGTAGGAAGACAGCTCAGAGCAGAGCTTGTTTACAGCAGGACATAAGAAAACAGCTAGACATAAATGAGGGCTGACGGTTTCATGAAGCACAATTGGTTGATCACAGATTCAATATGACTGCCCTGAACTGAGCGATGATCCGTACAGTATGCAAAATTCACTTTCTTGCTGGTCTGTGCCCACCAGCCTTCCAGCAGCTTTCCCAGAGCCCCTCAGCCACGGCTTTGAGTGGAACCAGAGCTGAACGCAGCATTGTTGTACCCAATTCCTTTTGACAACAATCACATTCTTTTAAAAACTTCATAGGTTTTAGTTGTCACTGGTTATAAATGAGGGTTTTTTCCCTCGCTGTTACTGCTGCTGTTGTTGTGGAGCTCACTGCTCTGCCACAGACCCAAGTACAGCGGGTCCTGGTACTCCTGGTTTTCCTTTGTTTCAATTGGTATTGGAAAGCAAGCGGCGCGTTTTAATGCCAGCGGCATGCAAGAAGTAATTTAAAGGTTTAGGTCACTTTTTGAATGACATGGTGATTAGTCTGCATCATGCTCAGACACTTCTAACTCCCCTTGTCTTTGCATAATGCAGCACACTCAGAGTAAAAAGGCATTTAAAGAAAAAAGTTGAAAGACAAGAGTTTTTTTTTTCATCAACTGCGGTGGAGCTTTGAGATAGGATGAATTGCTATCAGCAGCAGCATCACCCTTTAAACTTGACTTTGCAAGCAAAGGACATCCCCTTTCTATGTGCTGGTTGTGGATGGACAGGTCTGATGCGTATTGTTTGTGGATTCAGGTTGGACCACAGCTACTGCCAGTGTAAGCCAGCACAGCCTTTGAGGCTCTGGCCTCAAGTTGTGTAACTTTGCTTTTTTGTAAGAATGCATTTTTATGTTTATTTTTGGATAATGTTGTATAATTAGAATGGCAGTTTTCTGTACAGATGTGCATTCATCTAGGTATGCTCGCACAACTGGAGTTTGCCTGTAACTATTGCAAGTGGTCACTGAAAGAGTTCCATTTAATTTGCTGTTGGAAACCTAAGTTTTGCATGTACGTGTGAACTGAATGAAGAACAATTGCTTCAGACATAAATTTGCATAAATACATAAATTAACTAGTAGTGACTAATGATAAAGTGAATATAAAATGCCACTGGATAATTTCCTGCCTGTTTTCTGATAAGAAGGCAAAGTATCATAAAGGTAGTGGGGCTGGTGAAAGAAACCTAAAATGAAGTGGGGGGAAGAGTGTAATTTACACTACTTAAAGGTGCTCATGTGTAAAAGAGAGAAGGATGAGGAAATTGGCTGGAGATAGGTAGGAAAGGAAAGTACCTTCTAATTTCCTCTGAAACATAAAAAGACAAGAACATGTGTTGATTACACAAAGGCCACCACTGAAATGCTCTGTTATTCAGTTATGTTGAGAAGTAACCTTGGAAGAATTCCTCTCTGCTGTTGAAAATCAGGTTTTGTTTTCATTCTAAAAATATGAACTCATGGAAAGCACCTTTTCAGAGCCTGATCGTGTTAAGGGACAGGGGCATAATTTCTTTTGAAGTTTCTTGTAATAAAGTAGGACTTCCAAGCCTGTATATCAACTACTTAAAAATACTAACTTGTCTTTGAATGAAGTGCTAAAGAATGTAGTCTGTTGTGTTCCTGGAAAAGCTAAACTTGGTGCTAAATATACTGGATATTGTAAAAAACCCCAACCGCTTCCCCCTTCCCACCGTCCCACTGCTCCCCCCCTCCCCCCACCAAAAAACTCACAAACGAAAAACCCAAAGAACAAAACAAACCTGAAACCAAACCCCCCCAAACCAGACACATGCACCCACACACATACACACTCCAAAACATTGAAACCCACTATGCTGCTTTATGAGATCCAAGGAAAGAGGAATACTTTTCTCTCTTCTTTGCTGTGAAAAGAGCTTATGCGTTTTACAAACTATAACAATTGGAAGTTGACTGTCATCAATATAGCCTGCAATTGGTTTTGCCAGGGAAATCCGACATATAGAAGGAATATACAGAATGCAATGCAGATCATAATTCCATCAAAGTTACAGTGGTATACTGTTTATACTGGCTGAAAATTTGTCCCAGTATTTTTGTTTAGATGTTGTTTTCTTTAGCTGTTAATATAAACTTCAGGGTTTCCTGTGGTGATTATACACAGCATAAAAATTATCACACAACAGTGTTATAAATACTACTGGAACCTTTAAAACTGACTCGATTAAAATGTTATAGTGTGCAGGAACACAGCAATATTTAATATTTCAAGAGTAATAAAATTCTAAAGATACTGAGATAGTAAGTATGTTTGAAAGATTTTTCAGTTGGGAAAAACTCAGAAGCAGTAGGGTGAATTTCCAAACCTATGGAACTCCTGTCAAAATTATAATTAATTTAATTTGTGCTGTATGTGGCTTGTAGGAACTAATTCTGTTATAGTATTTATTTATTATAGTTTCCAGAATGTGTCTAGTCATTTTTAGAAATATTTGCTTTTTAACAGGGTAGTAGTCTTATTTTAGAGCAAGTCCACTGTTTTCAGACTAACATGTATTTGTGTGTGTCTATATGCATGTATATATATGAAGATATTAATATATCTATATTAATATGTCAGTGCTATGGTTCAGTTATTTTTGACAGATTTATTGATTGTGTCTGCTGCAAGCATTGTTGTTTTTTACTGGAAATTGACTCTCACAATCAAACAGGAAAGATGAATGCTGTAAAAATTACAGTTTTTCAAAGATTTTTGTAATTAATCCTTTTGTATTGACAGTTTCCAGGAGCTATGTTGCCAGGAGTGGTCTTTATTGCTGGACAATTAAGCAATTGGCTTGAAAAAAATAATGCTGTTTTCAGAAACTGTCATGTGACATTAAAAAATGAATGGGTCTGAACTGTTTTCTTATTTTGGGTTTGGCTTTGATTAATACTCCCAGATGTGCTTTGTTTTAGGTGATCTCTGCTTGCTTTGACTGTTAGGGTCTGTTATGGGGATCTATAGCCATGCACGAGTCCACATGTGACTCCCTTGCCAGTGCTGCTCAAGGTGGTATACAAAGACATCTTTAGCACTCGGGCCTTCCTGATGGTAGCAACGTGACTGGTTTTTGTTTGTTTGTTTGTTTGGTGTTTTTTTTTTTTAATTATTATTTTTTTTGGTTTTTTCCTACAGGATTTGACATGGAACATGTCAGAGCTTAGGCGCTCTGAGATCTCCTGCTATTTGTTTTTGCTGTAACTGTTGTTGACATTTCTCTAATATTAAATTAACTTTTAATCATTGTAATGAGTCCTGCTCCCCCTCTCTCCTGGACTGCGATCTCTCTTTTGTGACATCTCACTGTAAATGATTTTGGATTTATTTTTGGTTTATTGCCTTGTACAGAACCGTAGAGCTCATTCATTTTTGGCTGCTCTGTGATGAACAAATAGTGGTTATATAAGTGGGCCTAGAAAATAAGAGAAAGGGGGATGTCAGGGAAGTCTGTGTATAAATATGCTGCATAACCAAACTTTTCTAAATGAAGTGCTGCAGTTCTGCAAGTGAAATAAAGCACTTGCTTCTGAATGCATACTGCAAAGACAAGTCTTCTAATGTTCTTCATTTGTTGAGGTTTCTTTGCATTAATTAAAACTGAGAAAAAACAAAGTATTTTAATGTGACCTTCATTTGGCATTTGTTTTAACTTTTCTTCTCCTATTTTATTTAATTCTTCCACTTCTGTTGTTCAATTAGTGTTTGACCCCTTTAGCAGAGATGTAAATTAAATGACATTTCAATGCCATCCCATATTTAAAATACTGTGTTAGTTGTGGATCATAAAGGATGATCTTCGTTCTTTAGCTAATTTATTCATTTAACAATTTCCCTCCAGAAGTTCCAGCAGAAGGCTCTGAAGCAAACTAAGCAGAAGAAATCCAAGTCGGCTGAATTTCTGATGGGTGAGCCTTGCTTGATGAGTTATTGCTCATAATTTGTGTAAGGATTAATTAACTAATTACAGACAAATGGCTGTGGGCGAAATTTTGCTCTTGCTTGTCAGGGTGCAATTTGTAATTATTTTAATCATTTATTCTTCCTTTTTTTTTTTTAGAGTTAATTTTAACCTAATTCTGTTTTGGCGACATTTGAGGACGATACACTTGAGTCTTTCAGCAAAGGAATTACTAGAAGGAATTTTCTGCTTGTCATTGAAATACACTTTGCTATAATGTGCTCTTCTGACCTCCTTGTTTTCTGTAGTAAAAGAAGAGAGAACAGCAACAGAAGGCATTGAAAATCCAGCTTTTAACATCAGCAGCACAGATCTTTCAGCATATCAGCCTTCAGAAGAGAAAGTTATTAGACATGACAAGCCAGATAGCACCCTTGCAGCTCACCAACAAAAACTCGGGCTGCAAGCCCATGCTGAACCAAGAGGTGAGACATCAAACCCGATTAGCCTCAAATGCAGCCACGGTGGTTGTGTTCCCCATCCAACCTGCATGCTTCTTGGCCTGTGCCGGGCGTTCCCTTCCCGACTTGTCCAAACAGGTGGCCCTGCAAACCCTGGATGGGAGGCCAAAAACCATTGGCTGTCTAAATATTTAGTGACCTGGGATCCGTCTCCATGCCCATCCCTGTAATGGGGGGCGCAGGGAGCAGGCTCTCACAGCAGTGCGTCCCCATCATTTGTGTCAGGTTGGGTTTCAGAGGCACCACAGCTGGTCTGAGCACACAGATGCTGCTCCCTCTCTGGCTCCCAAGCATTGTTTTAAACAGCTTACAGATCCATGATTGATTGTTGTCCTTAGGTGTCCCATATGCCCTCAGTCAATCAGCATCTTGCCTCTGCTTCATGTTTCATTATTTTTTTCAGCCAGATACTTGGAGCAGAATCCTGTTCGTTCAGCTTGTCCAGGAGGAGCAATCCTGGCTTTTAAGCTATGCTTTGATGCAGCACCCAAAAGATACACTGCCTCATGAAGAAATCTGGTTATTATTTAGGTTCATTCAAACAAACTATAAGGATCTTTACTGATGTCAGTTTTCCTCTTGCAGAGGTTTGATATCTTTTTAACCCATTGTTTAATTACTCCATTTTGAATTATTATTACTGCTGAATGATACTATAAATGGTTATTTTTACTTAGTAAGCCAGTGAGGAAGATGGTGAGGAAAAGAATGTAAAGGCATTTTGTGGGCTATATGAGGAAACCATTGAGCCAAGATTTGATTTAAAAGCAAAAATGCCTGAAGTCAGACCCAAATCTTCCTTAAATACCCTAAAAATAATCCCCACAAAACCAAAAAAACCCCCACCACCAACCCAAAAAAAACCCCAAGAAAATCCCTTACTAGACAGAGTGATCTCATTAATTTCAAGTGGACTCTGTGCATCCATGAATATATAAAAGTGCATCCAAGGTCTGAGACCTCCAAAGGTACCAAAGGAACTGGTATGGCTTTGAGAAGTCTTGATTGCCCAGCATTTCCCATTAACTCGAAAGCAACAATGCTGCTTGTTAGTGCCAGCCCAGGCATCTAAATGAGTAAGTTCAGGCTGGTGAGCAGAACTTCAGACATTCACTTTTGAAACTCTGGACCTTTTTGCCATAAGATTTTATTCTTGTGGGACTGGAGAGTCCGTGGCTCTTAATGGCCCCTTGCAAAATTAGGTTTGGCTTTCGATTTAGCCTTCATGTGACTCTGTGTAGCGCTGCACGGAGCAGGAATTCTTCGTCTTTCCTTTGCAGTCTGTCAGAACAGTGATTAAGCAGACAACGGGATTGATTGTTTTTTAATGAAATAGTCTATCTGGCAAAAAATGAAGTCAGGCTCGCTGGAGACTATCCGTGCTTTCAGTCGCCTCTTCAGAAATTCATTAATAGTTCCCTCAAGAAAACAACACATTTTTTTAAAAGACTGAATTGTGCTTTTAAACACTTTGATTTTTCATCCTAAGTAGCATTTTGTTCAAAAAACCCTAACTGAATATAATCTTTGTGAAAAGAGTAGAAATTGTTACCTTTTGCCTGGAATGCGATGCCTTGATACACTGTTAGGTGTTTCTGTAATGGAAGAGTAAAGCTTGGTGAGAGTTGGAAAATTTTGTTTCCCAGCGCTGTCTCCCTCCTCGACCTTCTGTTCATCCATTTAACCAAAAGATCAGTTATTCACACAGCTCTGCCTCTAAGCCATGCAGCTACTAAAAAAAATAATCATCCATTTATACCATCATAAGAAAAAGTCTAGATTGGAAGAGACCTCTAGAGATCATCTGGTCCAACCTTGCATTAAATTATTTTGAGCCTAACTTATGCCACGACTTGTTTGGCAGTCACAGGGACCAGTTCAAATTTATCAAGGGCTGTTAATAAAACCACAGCTTCAAGGCTGTCCAGAAACCTGGGACAAAAATTGAACTAAACCTTCTGGTACCTCACAGACTAATTTTTCCCATTCTGAAGTGTAACAATACTTCTTTAAAGAGGGAAAGGGAAAAGCCAACTGCATAGATAAGTGCAGTACCACGTGAATGTGGTAATGTATAAATGGTAGTGTTTCACAGTGAAGATTAAGTCTACAGGTAGCTTACCCCTATTTGTGGCAATCTGTTGTGGTTTGGGACTGCCAGAGCCCACAAGGTTTGTTCCTTGAGCCCTTCATTCCTTTGCTTTGCTCCATGTTCATTAGCGGCTTTTCATAGCTGCTATCATTTCAGCTCATAGCAAAAGCACAAGTGGTGTTGAAAAGTGCCACCATCCTATAAGCACAGGGGAAGCTTTTCTGCAGCTTTCTCTCCTGCCTCTCATCTCTCAGGAGCCACTGTGCAGTTCACAGGAGAGATTTTTAGCACACAAGTCTCCTTTTTTGCCTAGGAGGTGAGACTTGCACCCCACACTGGAAGCTATTTCTCTAGGAGGGGATGCCCACACACGCTGGCATTGCTTTGCAAATGCCATTAAAATGCCAGTCCTTTTGCCACTTCATGCCAGACTTGCTTACTTTAAGGAACGTGCCTGCCAAGCCCAACAGCACAGTCTGCGTAAAATAAACAAGTTTTAGATTCCTCCACTGCTCCCTTTCACTCTTCTCCTATTTTCTTCCCCAAATGACAATAAAATATTACTACTCTTGGGGCTTCCTCCCCTTCACAATCGTTGGGTGCTCTGCCAACTCTCATCCCCTAGGCTTAGGTTCGGTTACTTACTCAGTGAGGAATGGCGTTTGTCAATTCAAATGCTTGGTGTCAAACTGTACAGTTTAAAAGCAGTTATAACCTTAAGCACAATTATTTAATCACAGCATTTAACAGATTACAGGTTGAGAACACTATATAAACATCAGGCTGGATTTTCAGGCTATGAACTTGAAGGCAGGGCATGGAGATGCCATTGCCTTTCCATTATCTTTCCACCCATAACCCATGTCATTATTGGCAGCAAATAATAGCTGCAGGGGTTGCTATCATTTCCTCCACCTTGTAATAGTGTCACAGCCAGTTCCTCTGTCAGCAATTGCTGGAGGGGAAAGTGTTCTCTAGAAAAACCTCCACCTACTTTTGGGAAGCCTTCTCATACACCTCCATGTTGAGGATACCAGGAAGGACCGCGAACAGCCAGCTCTGTGTTCAATCCCTAAAACCTGTTTCTGGGATTTGGCTCTGTCTGCACAGGAGGCTGCTCTGCAGAACACACATCACTTGGGGATTAAATAGCCAGTGCAGAGGTCCACTGTATTGCAACTTGCCTGCCTCTGCCCCCAAATATCTTAGTTCACAGGTATGTTTGTGCTATATTGTCTTTTCCATTCCCTTTCCTCAGATAACAGAACATCTCCTCAAAAGGAGAGTTTGTGAACTGATTCTTGTTTTCAAGAAACTGATGAAATCTTTCTGGTTGTGTGTTTCCCCAAACCCTTCCCCCCCCTCCTCCCCCCAAAGTCTTCTTCACTTTTCAAACCAGATTGTTGGTGGGAACTATTCATGTGACTCAAAGTGCGTGCTTTGCTTGTGGGGAAACTGAGGCAGAGCATGAGGCCTTCTCTGCAGTCACCCTGCAGGTCTGTGATAGAAATAGAAATAAAACCTCTGATCCCTAGTCCATCTGTCTGTCTATTAGGTCATTCTGTGTCTTACACTGTCATATTTCCCGTGATGGACACAGTTCCAAATTTTATCAGTGTCATCTGTAGACCACTGTTCAGGAACAGGCCATTGAGTAGCAATTGCTGCTGTATGCTTCCCAATCGTTGCTTTATATGGTGAAGACCTGGTACTGCTATTACATGTAAGAGTGACTCAGGGGAACTGGCTGACTATTTGTTCAGGTTAATCTCCTGATTTTCAGCCAGCTAATTGGTTACAGTGGCTTCTACCCTGTTTTCTTTTCTGGATTCTGTGCTGACTCTTTGATGGTCACTCCTATAACCTTCATTTCTTACATCTTTGATTGTAAAATTAAGGTAATTTAGCAGTGGCTTTGTCTTTGCCAAACTCTGCAATATATTTGTTTCTGAAAGTACTCAGAGTTTTCTTGTGACTAAATCCAACCAATTCTTCTGCCCTTCCTCCCATCAGCATATATTGAATTTTGCCAGAAATTTTCATGTTGACCATCCCAATGGGAGGTCTAATAGACAAATTTCTCTGGGAAGAATACTTGGAATTAGATCATCCAAATTCAGAGTGACAGGAACGTATGTCCATCTGTTTCTCAATTGCCACGTACCTGATCTCAAGGTGAGCCAGTATTGGCTTTTTTATTTTCTTTATTTAGTTTTTTTTCTTCAGAAGGGTTTAAATCCTTTGTAGAGTGCCCTAATGTTCAGGCTGGCTCGGTAAAGTCTCTGCTCAGCAAAGTGCTTCCAGTAAACTGTCGTGACAGAAGCACCAAACCTACAGGAATACACCATCTTTGGCTGATGGCAGACTATGAGGGCAGTTGCTCAACCTCTGCTGGATGATGTGTGTCAGAAGCAATCCCTTACCACAGGACTACTGTACTTAACGTTTTATCATAGGCCTGTAAAGCAAATGTTAATCTATTTTAACATTCAATGCATTTTGTCCTCAGCTGCTGTGATCAGAAAATGTGCAAGTGGCTTATCCCAGTTTGTAGTGTTTAGTGTTCTCCACAGCCCAGACCTACATAGATGTGATCCAACTAATCCTGAGAAGTGCCCTGTGGGATGGCACTGATCACATTTCTACAAGACAGGGAAAATTTCCAGCCCAAGCATATAGAGGGGAATACATGTCAGAAGAAATTACTGTGATCTTTCTGGGGTGCCAACTGCACATGTGAGCCGTGGAATCCAGGTACGGGTCTTTTTTACTTGGTGGCTGCATAGACACTTTCAGAGACTGTGGTACTCTGGCTTTTGCATGGGAGATGAAAGAAAATCTAGTTGTCTTCTCCTGTATCCTGCACACTTGT